GGTGCGGGCTGGGCAGGCCCCACCCCCACCCCGCTCTGATTGGGGTCAGATAAGCCTGGAGGGCCCCAGCCCTTGCCCAGCCCCCAGGCGCCCAGCCCAGGGCCTGGGGAAACATGGCCACAGTCAGGCTCAGAAACACAGCGGGCCACGGGCTCACTGGAGCCACCCAAGCACCTGTCAAGGTGTCAGAGCCACCCAATCACCTTCTCAAGTGGCCCCAGGTGAGACACCTACCGCCCTCCCCCGCCTCCACTCCTCCCCTCTCCAGGCCCCATCCGGCCTCCAACCCCTCATACACTTAAGTAGGAAATGTCTCCCACTGGAGGATGTGTTGGAAGCTGACAAGGGAGTCTTAACAGCCCCTGAGTGAGCACTCACAGGGCCACCTTTTCTGTGAAGTGAGGTGTTTCCTCCACTGGGCAGTCCAGCCTGCACCCCAGGGTGGAGTTAGGCCGGTCTTGCAGCTGGGAGAGTTACAGGTGGAGGGAGCACAGGGGTGCGGCTGGGGCCCGCTGGGGCCGCCTGCAGGTGTGGCTGCTGACTGCTAGGCAGATAAGAGGTGTGTCCCCCAGAAGGCGGGCCTGGGAGCCTGCTCCCCAGGAGTGGTTTAATTTTCTCAGAGGAGCATCCTCTGCTCAGTGCTCCAGACCACTTGGCGCAGGCCTGTCCAGCCGCCCACCGCACCCCAGCACTGCAGTCCTGTCCTGGCAGCCGCAAACTTGTGTTGCAAGCCTTCCCTGCCCCCAGCAACCCCCCCAAACCCCATGTTAGGGCCAGGCATCTGATCAGGAGTCTCTGCATGAAGTCCCACGAATGTGAGGAGGAAGGGCTCGGTGGGAGCCAGAGCAAGTGCGAGCAGAGGCTTAAAGACCATTCTGGATTCAGAGTTGACTCAGACATGTTTTATTATAACCTTATACAGGGTACATAAATCTTCAGCTTGTATTTACTTGGGTTCAGTTATAACATAGCATACTAAAAATGAAAGCACTGGTCCTCTGAAATAAAGCAGGCAATCAGCACTCAATAAACACACTTGATTTATTTTGTATAAAAGGGTTAAGTTTACAACTAAACTTTTATAAAAAGTTTAGCAGGAATAAGTACATCATTACACTGTAGGCAGAAATGGACATCTCCGCCACTATACAAGAAGACTCTAATGAAAGAGTTCACAAGGTCTCACTCAACATATATATATTTATATAAATATATACACAGCATTCAGTAGGCTTGCGTCAAAAAGGTAATTTCTGACCGAAAGGCTTCATGTAAGTAACTGAACACTGGGTCCTTCTGGTATTCACGCTCCACCTTTGAGAAAAGGCAAAGTCTGCTTCATTTGGGCAATTCCTTGTGATTTTAACGTTTCGCTCCCCATGGTGGGAATAGTATATAAAGAAACCTTCCAGCTGCGGAAAGGGCATTTAAAAGTCTTTTTCATAAATAACTAAGACCACAGTCCGGGCAGAGGACGCGCTGGGAAGGAGGCCACTCTTATTTTCCTCCATGCTTTTAGCAAGGTCCATTCAGCTTGTCCTCCTCCTGGAGAAATGGTCGAAAGTAAGTTCAGCGCCTTAAAAAGAGCCTGTGGATTTGTTGTTCTTGTGCAAAGGAGAAAAAAAAAAGCCATGAACACCTGCAAAAGACCGGAGAAGGCTGGGTGAGGAGAACAAAACCTAAGAGCCGGTGCGGCCGCTGGCCAGGAGGAAGCCAGGTTGGAACCCTGAACCAAACACAGGACCAGGGGAGCCTGGGGGCCAAAGCCACCTCTCAGCGCCTCCACAGCTCAAATAAAATGCTGAGAGGCAGGGACGCCAGGGGCCAACTTCCCCACCCGCCCAGCCCTGGCTCAGGCGCCAGCCTGCTGCTTGTAACAATTATTTGATTGAAAACAGCCCCTCGGTCAGCAGATAGGAGAGTCGAGCCCACATCACAGGGCTGGGCCCAGCCGCCCTGGCACTTCCCTGGGGCTCCGGTTTGGGGGAAGGAGGATCCCGGCGGAATTCCTGGCGATAAGGTTAATTGCACGGAGGTTAGTACCTCCTCGCACGCGGCCAGGGGCTTGTGCCCCGAGGCCGCCTAGCTCCCAGCCACCTCCCCAGCAAGTTACTGGCGTCTGGCTTTTTCTTTTGCAAAGAGAATGTGTGAGGTCGGGAGAGAAGGCCGGGTCTCCGCCGGTCCCGGAGGCCGGGGCAGAGGATCGCGTTCGTTCCGGACGAGGCCGGCGGGCAGGCACACACAGGACGCGCGGCGGCGCGACACTCACCGTTTATTCAGCCACAGAGCGCTTTGCTGTCACTTGACATTAACTCAGAAGGGAATTCGGACGCCTGCAGAGAAAGGGACAAAGCGCGGCGTCAGACGCCGCCGGCAGGGCCCCCCTTCTTTCCCCGGGAGCTCGCGGCGGCGCCAAGTGCCATCACACGCGCTGGGCCGCGATGACCGCAGAGGCAGGTGCGTGGACGCGGCAGAACTCAGCGGCGACGCCTCGCGCGTTTTGTAAGAGAAAGTTCACGCGCCGATCGGGGGCCCCGCGAGCGCCCGCCCGTGGACCGGGGCGCGGGCGCGGGCCCGGCCAGGTCTTACCTGCAAGGACAGGATGCTGATGTCCGTGTTGAGGGTGGTCAGCGGCGTCCGGGCCGCGGGGCTCTGCCCCGGCCGCTGGCGGTGCAGGCTGACAATGGTGGGGTGCGAGTCCAGGGCGATCTGCAGGTCCAAGATGTAGTCGATGACGTGCTGCAGGATTTCCATCTTGCTCACCTTCTTGTTCTGCGGGATGCTGGGCACCAGCTCCTTGAGCTTGGAGTAGCAGTCGTTCATGTCGTAGAGCAGGCTGATCGGGTCGTCCGCCGGGGTCTTGCTCCGGGCGACGCCCAGGCTGTGGTCCGAGAGGCCGCTTTTCCGCACGGACCTCGCGGGGCTGAAGGCCTTCATGCTGGCCGCGGGAGGAGAGGCCGGGGGGAGCGGGCTGCCCTAGCGCTCAGGCCGCCGCCGCCGCCGCGGAGCTGCTGCGCTCGGCACCGGGCTCCACTCGGAATGAAGCCGGAGCCCCGAGGGGCGGCTTTTATGCGCACTCGCCGGGGCCCCGCGGCCCGGCTTCCCCGCGTCCCC